ATATATGTATATATGTATATTTTAAAAGATAACCTGCCTAATTAGATATTTATGCAAAATGACTGTTTTCTAAAGGGAGTAATACTAGTGGTAATTATATATGGAGCCACCAAGAGTCCACATTAATGAATGGTATTTGTTGTTCAGCAGATACTGATCTCCTTTGCACTGACACGCTGCAGTTGGCAAAGCTGCTCTGGAACTGGTGCTGTGGCTGTGGGCACAATCTGGCCACCGGCACACAACCACATGGCTTTCTCTGGACAGCAGAGATGGCTGAGCCACAGTTTCAGTGTGCTTTCTGCCACTAAATCTGACTTCTCATTGTTGCTTTCTGATAAATATTAAACCACTCTCAAGCTGGTACAACTATGCATTAATGAGCAAAGGTGGTGGCAAACCGATTGAGTAGTCTTTTGTATTTCAAATGACTCCTCCCAAAGTCCATAAAAAGAGGAAGGACCAAGTTCTTCTCTGCAGGGTTGTGTGGTTCACTGCCTGCAGACTCTGGCTGTAGAGAGCATGGATCTGGGAAGAAACTCATTCTCCCAGTCCAGTCACACTAGGGAAAAGCTGTGGCTCATTCATCTCTGTGCTACCAGGCCAAGGGGCCAGTCTTTCCTTTTCTCTCCAACTTTATCTGCTGCAGGCAGACAACAAAAGGTAGTACCCATGTACTCCCTACTTAACTACCGCTGTAAATCAACCCTGCATGCGCTGGCCTGAGCAAGCCGGGGGCAGCACGGAGCTGTTCCCTCCACCATCCTTGGCTCTTTCCTTCCTGAGCTGCACGGCTGGCAGCTGTGCTGGGCTCCAGCAGCTGCCAGGCAGCTCCTGGATCCCAGGATGTGCTGGGTGGGATGGGAGGAGAGGCACCATTTTGCTGTGCTGCCCCCAGCACGGCCCTGTTCTTCACCTGACAAAAAGCTGGCGGAGCATGAGAACAGGTCCAGACCAGTCCACCCTTCAGTCCTTCCACTTCCTAACTGAACCCACACCATGGGCATCTCCAAATACAATTTTCACTTCACTGTGCTGAGTGGGAAGTCAAACCCTTCTCTAAGCCACTCTTCATAAACTACATGGGTCTTGGTGAAACTGCTGCCTGAAACAGTGGTTAGGGATAAACCTATATTCTATTTAAGAAACAGACCATTTTTTTCTGTTAAATGGTTGGTTCCTAGGATTTTCTTCTTGCCTCGAAGATATTTTAATTGTAGATTTTTTTCATGCCAAATTCATGAATCCAGGTGAGAGAGACTGTCTCATTTATTTCACAGCTTCCCTTTGCTGCAGGGATCTCTAATAGTCGTCATTACCAGGAGAGTGGCACTATACCTGAATCACTCTCTGTAACACTGTTTTTTTTTCCTCCGGACACCTCAGTAAGGCTCTTCACTAACTTCATTTTCTCATGGCAAATTAGCAAAGCTATTTTCTTGTCTACTTATTCCTGAATCAAACCAGAGAGTTTTCCTCAATTAACCTCTCATTAGTCTCTTAATTCTGTCATACACACTCACTACTAATTTGCCCTCAGATTATTGCGTCATGTTACACATGTACAGACGAAGAAAGGACACACTTTTACTTTTTTCTTTTTTTTTTTTTTTTCTTTTTTTAAACAGAAGTAGGGAGAGGGGGGCTGAATGTGCAGACAAGGCAGTATAATTCAACCATCCAAGCCCTACCAGAGCATGAAGATTTTATTTTTTAATATTGCAGAGTAAGTTTCCCAACAGTCAGTGTTTGTCCCTGAAGAAGGTTAAACCTTAAACACCTGCTTCAAAAAAACCCCAACAACAACAAAAAAGAACCAAAACCAAAACAAAACAAACAAAAAAATAAAACCCAAAAAACCACTAAGCCTAAGGGCTTAAAAATTAGAGGCATAGCCTTTTTCTCTATTTTCTATATTTATATGAAAATAATTCATGCTTCATGCTAAATACATTATTTACCTTACAAGAACTTTGTCATTTTTGAATAAAAAAATTGTTTGCTTTTTTGTATTATTCCCCCCCTCCCAAAAGGAATCCATGCAATGTGGATCAAATTTATTCTGCTGGCTACCCTGGTTGAATCTGGAAATCTGTTGGCATTTTTGCACAGATGAATCCTGACTGACAGCAACTGCACACTCATTTCTGAGGGCAGCGTAGGAGCTCTTTTGTCGAACTTCTGAATTTTACTGTTCACTAATATGCCCTCCTTTTATTTTTAAATACAGACTACTACTAATGGCAGGTCTTGTAGCTTTGTTTCCTCAGTTAGATCAAGGATTTGATCCACAGAAAAAGATTCTGATGTATTTCCTTCCTTAATATCTAGTGTGATTTCTCAGACTTGATTGCTTTTCACTCAGGCAGTTTAGAAGACATAGCTTGTTTTTCCCTATTACTACTGCTTTTTGTACGCAGTGCCAATCTTTGAGCTTATGGCTTTTTGAACATTCTTTTAATTTAATATAGAAGACAGAATTCAATGATTAACGACGCTACTAACAGTGACCCTACTTCCATTTCTTCGCATTATTTTGCTGAAACCCATTGCATACACAGTTCAAATTTCCCCGAACTTAGAAGTTATTAGTCTTCACGTTATGAGCCACAGAGCGGGTGAAGCACTAGAAGTGCACTGCGGTTTGCGCTGTTGCCACCAGTGGCTGTCCAAAGACTTCTATGGCACAACGTATCCAAGTGCCACTAGATGGTTCTTGGTTTGGTGTTGAAAAGTACGTGCCTCCTCTTCCCCCCAAATCTCTTTATTCACATTCACTTCTAACCCAATTGTAAGGCCACTAAAAAGAAAGAATTCTTACGGGCCAGGCCTGAGTGGCTACCAAATTATGCACAGCTCTTCTAGTATGAGAGGGATTTCCAAGTGCCCAATTTTACTCCCATCACATTAATGTTGATGTCACTGCGTATTCAACCATGTGTTTTTGACAAACCGCAAAAAGCAATGGCAATTTTGGCTTTTTTTTTTTTTGTTGTTAATTTTTTGTCTTCAGGTAATGAAAAGCTTTTGTAAATTAGCTGAGTGTCAATATGAGTTCTATGGCTTCGATCTCCTTTAAAAATAAAAATCTTAAGGGTCAAAAAAAAAAAAAGAAAAAGAAAGAAAACAAAAAGAAAGAAAAACAAAAAAAGGAAAAAATTGCTGATATTGCCACAAATCATTAGAATTCACCTGACGTGCTGAAACAAAACTTTGTAAGTTCAAACAAATCATTGATTTGTTCTAATTTTTTGTGGTTTCCTTTTGCTCTTTCTGCCCCTTTGCCGTCCGATTGGTGATGTTGTTCAAACAAGATCGAATTCCTGCTAAATGCAGGAGTGAACCTGCTGCTTCTTTCATCTCCTCATCGTCACTCTCCGGGGGCTTTTCTGTACGTCTCTTTTTAAGAGGCAGTGTGTCACTTGGTACTTTTTTCGCCTTCATTAAATGTTGCCTTTTCTTGTGCTGGGATGCATACCCACTGTCAGCTAAAGAATCCTTGGTCTCCTTTCGACTTTGCTTTTTGTCCTCCTCTTCTGTTTCACTATGGCTCTCGTGGCTCTGGAAGCTAACTTCACTTCCTTCACTGCTGTCCTGGCTACCTTTAGTTGCAAATTCATACTGGTCGTCAGCAGAGGAAGAGGAAACGGAGTCACTAGCAGGTGATGTGCTCCTGTGGTTGGAAGATTTGGCACTGCTGTAGTTGTGATCCTCCTTTGGGTCACCGCTAACAACTGGAGAGCCACAGGACTGTTCGCTTTCTGTCCGCATCCGGCAGTTTGTTATTCCATTCCTGAAAAAAAAACCATAATAGCAGTCTTAAAAGCTACAGAGAGGTGATCCTGCTTCAATGCAAAAGGTGATAAAGCCAAATGACAGACAATCTGAAATTATGACTCTCAAAAGTAATGTCCATGCAAGCTGGTTTCCAAAGCCTTGAATCAAAGTGTTTGTGGATCCACAAACAAAACAAGCCAAGAGACGTCTAACAGCATAGGATGCAGGAGTAAGATGGCCATGGTTACAAATAAATTATGTCTGAACACTACTGATTTATGTTTCAACTGATACTTTACACTTCCAAAAAAAATTAAAAAGGAAAAAATCACATTATTACATATACTGGATATCAGATAAACTCTGATGAGTTACCTAAATATTCTCTCCCCTTTTCCATATAAAATAGTACTACCAAAAATGTGGGGAAGATACTCTAGCTTTTTGGAGTACTACTTTGCCTCTTCTGAAAGACTCTTTTTCAGCTCTGGTGTTCCAAGGCTAGGAGATGTTTCATCTGGAAGTGGCATAGCTTCCATTTAGGGCTCTTTTCAACAGAAGGAGCAACTACATATAAAACCACAACCAGCTGCATTTTTGATTGTGAACAGTTTATGAATAGCATTAAAAGCAATACAATTTTAAGCCACTAGCTGCCAACAAAATATTACAATCTGTTTAAAAACAAACAGCAGGGAAAAAAAATCTGGTTTTGCTCTAAAAGTTGTCCTTTTCCTCTGGTTTTACAACACTCAGTACTGTACTCGGTGTTGACTACTGCAGCATGATATATGTAAAAAACAACAGTGTTCCATTCTGCACTGGAAAGTATTAGAGCATTGCCAATGACTTTACAATACAGAATACAATGCTTGCAAATCTGTTAGAGGAGGGCCTGACCCTGTGCAGTGGTTAATTCCTACTGAAAAAAGGAGAGGAGGATGCTTATCATTGAGTAGCGGTATCATCGGCACCTGCCAGCTCACCAGCCCTGAACCCCTCTATCAGCTAGGAAAAACAACCAACCAAGCAAGACTGTTTAAGCTATCAGATGATAAACTGCTTTAAGAGCTAGTCTAGCCATCTTCGTGCCTCTGCACACTCATGGTCGTCTTGGACTCAAACCGTTTTTTAAATGTACGCACTGAACACAGATATTTCTTAAGAGGAATGGCAAGTCCAGAGTATTACTGCTCTTCTACTTAAAAAATGGAAAAGTGCTTTAGGTTTCAGGGAAAGGACTGCCCGTCTGGGTTCTTTATAGAAACAGAGTATTATCCATTTCTGAAAGGTAAGGCTGAAAGGTGGCAGATATGAGAGTGGTATTTATTTCCACAGCTCCTATTCATCTAAATGCCCTCGTCTGTAGACCTTGCTGAAATAAGAAAGAGGCTTTTGTGAAGCAGTGACAGGACAATGCTAGAAGGTAGCAAATTAATCAGTCATTCCAAATGTTCTTATTTACAGTATTTTCAAAGAAATTTATGTAACAGAAGGCCCAGTTATTAGCAAAGAAAGCTTCTTGTCAACCTCTTCTGCTCAACAAAATTGTTTCCCTTAGATTTTTGAGTAGCTTTATCATCCATAAATTATATACAGAACCTAGAAGGAATACACAAAGCTCCTTCAATTATTAATAACTGAATGCAATGTCGTTCATGATTGTGCAGCAAGCCAGCTGCATTTACTCTGTGATGGTTTGCCACTGCAGGGGTTGTCATTAGAGGATGCCAAATGCTTAAAAAAAGAAACCATCCATACTGAACTAGTTGTAAGGTGAATTTATAACCAACTCCTTAAGATCAGTCATTACAAGGAAGCATGTGATGCATTTTAAGTGACAGATTCTTCATTTTTAGGGTAAATTTACATTTAAAGATGTTAAAATTACCATAAATTAACATAAAATTAAAGTTACTTGATTTTACTAGGCAGCTAATAGTCAGAGCAATGTGGCTCAATAAAAATCATGCTACTAATTTTCCATTAAAAACCAGCAATAAATTCTTGCTCCAAGGAAACAAACACAGGACAGAATAGGTGGGAACTCAAATGGGGATTCCCACTGACTACGTTATTAGTGAACAAGGCTTCTAACAGATGGGATTTAAACCAAGACGCCCATTTTCATGTTATTAGATCTACTCCTATTTGTTAGTGCATACTGAGAGACTATTAATAAATGGAAAGCTACAGTTCCATGAAGCAGAGCAACCATGTGCCAAAAAGATACTCCTGATCTGCTCCACTCCTGAGTCTCTAGTGTTTGCTTTTACATAAAGGGGCTATAATTTGGATTCAAAAGCCCTGCCCATGGGACTTGCTTCAGATTCCAATCCTTTAAAAAAAAATCATAAAAAAAGAATGAAAGGCCCAGGGATTACAGAAGAAATGTCCTGGGAGAAGGTGTACTACCATGGGCTTAGCATTCCACAGGGAGTGACTGCAAATAGGGATGCTGACAAAGGAAAACAGAAGTCCAAAGAAAGATGCATAAAAGAAATCACTAAAAAAAAATGGGAGGAAAGGAAATACCAATACACTTCAGAAGAAAAGCATCTATAGTGCAACTGGTCAGGAAATGGATAGCATTTGCATCTCAGAAAAATCTTTGGGTTTCACTTACATTTTGAAAGATTTCCAACCAGTTCTGCTTGGGAAAATAAAAAAGGAAGAGAAAGCAGGTCAAGGAGAGAATTAGCAAAGGACATCCACAGAAATGAAAATGGGTTATACAGGCAGAGAGTTTTAGGATATTCACAAGGTCAAAAGCCATGTACCCTGAAAGTAAATGAATCTAATTTGTATTTTGATACGCAATAGCTCAAACATATGAAGAATTACTTATAATTGATATTAGTAGGTTAATAAGAATTGAATAAACTAATATCTAAACCATTCATATTCCATACACATTTCTAAGACATTCTAAAGCTTTATATTGCTCTTATACAGTCACATACTTGCTACGAAATGAATCTGTGATCTACTTAATTCAATCTAGATCATCAGTGGCAGGAACCCCCCTGGGTTTCAAGGGACAGATTTTGGCCAGCTGAGTCTATTTTTGCTCACAGTTCTGGTTCTAATTTTAACTTTGCTACTGAAACAATAATCGATTTTAAAAAAAACCCAAACACTTGCTTTGATGTTTGGATTATTTGTAAATTACAGAGTAGACGAAAAGTTACTTAAGAGTTCTGTGTTTACGGCAACAGTGAGGGAAAATTTATTTCAGGTAATACCTTATTTTGTTATCATTTTTTTTATTCAGAACTTTATTTCACAATTTGCAGAAATGGACATGTTTTCACATGGGTTAAAGCAGTGGCTTGACCTTTCATGGAAGTCCATGGGACAGGCTCTAAAGCTTTTCAGACCACTGACATGGACTGGTTTATTTGTTTGAGGGATCTTAACCATAGTTGTACAGATAAAAGTACAATTCATGAATTCTTTTAAAAATACTTCAGTTTGGCTGTAGCACAATGACACAACCTTCAAGCACTGTAGAGCTGAAAGCCCAACTCCACTCCCATTAACAAGACTAGGAGTTCTACTAATGTCATCAGGAGCCAGCTGGGACTCACAGCAGCTGGATCTCAAGTCAGTAAGGCAATAATGTCCCCTGCACAGTGTTAGTGCCTCTGCCTTTCAAAGAGGTCTTCCTCAGAACGTTACGAAAGTAAGTCTCAGTCATTTTACCAAGTGCTGATGTATCTTATTTAAATTTTTCTACTAGCTTTAAAAAAAGATAGTTAATTGCATTCTGTTTGCAAAATGGCAAAATGTTCTGCTGAAAAATACTGTATTCCACACCAGAGACAGGTATATTCCTTTGATGAACAAAGCAAACCTACATGGAGTTTAAACACCACCTTTGTATCTCTGATCCTTCTGGATGACAGATACTGCATACCCACAGGTGACAGTTTTGATATACAATTGGTAACACAAAGTTAAAAGACATGAAGAAAGCAGGACAGATAAGCTGGACTTGTGGATTTTGACAGGCTCCAGGTTTGCTAAAAAAAAAACCAAAACCCAAAACATCCCACTCTTTTCTTACTGTACTGGTAACAATTTCAAAGGGAAATTCAGGACAGTCAGAACTTTTAGCTACAGGTAGTTGAACTGTTACTTAGAACCACTACATACCAGCAGATGGGAAGATGAGCAAGCACTGGAAAAGTAAGTAGTGCTCACTTGCTGTATGGTGAGATTCTATCAGGAGTTACTGCGTTAAAAGTCAACAAGTCAGTCACACTACTGATAGAAGCTCTTACAAAGGTACTTCACGGCATAACTGTATGCAAAGGACCACAGTAAATATGAACTGCCAGCAGAAACAGCACTTTGTCAGTATCAACAGCAGACCTGAAGTTAAGGCAAACGCAGCCCTCTGCATTTTGCAAAAAAATAATCAAGTCAGCCAGTACTTTTGTCCTTCCGTTACTGAAGGATTCCCTCAGGTCCCAAGGATAACTCATCCTGCCTGTTAGTGGTGAAGGGGAATGCAATGCAAAAAGGATGATTTGGGATTTGTTAAGCTGATCAAGCCAGTAATAAGCAAGAACATTAAGAATACACCCTTAAGAATTTATAAAAGGAAGTACCTACCAGTTCCTTTACCTAAGCAAAAATAATAATTCACTGAAAATAGAAGTATATAGTTTTCCTTATCCTTTGACATCTATGCTGCACATGCTACTTATGTCTGGTTTATTTAATCACTGCTTAAATGTTTGCTTCAATGGAGGAAAAAATAAGCAAAAATAGAGCCAGCATGAGAAATAAAGTTGCCATAAGAAAGCCAGGTCTGAGGAATAATCTAGTAATTGCCCTATAAATTTAAAGTGAAAATAATAAGAAATAACAACCTTCCATCTTCAATAAAATTAGGCACAAAACTCATTCTTGTCACACTCCAATGAACAGGAGCTACATAAGGCACTGAGACATTAATAGCAGAAGAACAGGTATTTTAATATCTGCTCATGATTAAGTAGTTGAGGTTTGTTAGTGTTGCATTTTGGAGTGTGTTTTTTTTTTTTTTTTTTAAATACAAGAAGAGCAGTAGCTCTGCCAGTGTGGATGTACTTGCCTTCCCTAGGAATAAGAAACATATTGTCTTGGAAACATGAATGGAAAATTTTTTTACTTAGGGAAATTCCCTCGAAGCTTGTGTTTGCCATTTCCAGATAACTGTGTAATTCCTTGAGAAGCTACAAATGTGAGAAAGGAGAATAGAAAAAAAAAAATGTAAAAAATTCAAGTAATGCTTCATTAACTTTTATTTTGAACCTGCAATAATTTAAAAAATAGAAGTATTTCTAAAGAACACTACCAATATTAATTTAACCTATTACCTTGGCATAAGCATCACACAAAGAAGTTTTGGCTACATTTTCAACTAGCCTGAAACAATAGCTTGGGTTCTTTCTGGGCAAGTAGGAGCTAAAAAGGCAGGTAAGCAATTAAGTCTACACTATCCCCCATTCCAACATTTCTGATGCATCAACAAACAAAAGAAATGTCAAATCCAGCCAAAGCATCTTTACCAGGAGTGGCTCTGCTTAGCTCTTCCCAAATCCTTAAGGTTTTACCTACTCCTTAAAGTTTCCCACCAAGAGGGCTGTGAACCCTCTTTTCCACCTCCATCTCATATGCTTTTGCTGGTTAGTATTATGGGATGAGCTTTTCATTTGGCCTTCCCAGCAGAACAGGCCACTAAGCCCTGTTGGCCAGGACTAAAGGCACCTAGATTAAGGCCAAAAAAAAATGGGGAAGCATAGTCTGTAACAGTACAAAATACACTGAAGCCCAGAGCTCCATAAACCCCGGATTCCCTGGGAGCCCATCTGAATGCTGCTCAGCATTTTGGGGCAGACAAAAATGAAAAAAAAAAGGCCAAATACACAAAGATTACCAAGGATATTTTGTAAAAATCTTTTGCAGAACAACCGGGACCAACTTACAAGGCCTGTGTCACACAGATGGTGAAACTCACTGTCGAGTGAAATCCCATCAACCTCACCTCAGTGGATTCGATTTGCCCACATCAGCCAGATGAGGATTAAGCTCAGTTAGACCACTGTGCTCTGGCAGGACATGGACACAGACACAAACCACTCATGCACTATGGGTAACTGAAAAAAATTACAAACATCATGGTAGAGGCTGTCTGATGAATGTACTGAAATCACAGTTCAAACAGGTCTATCAGCTTCCAAGTGCACGCCCCTCCAGAGGGCTGGTGTAACTGGTAACACCTTACTCACGTGGAAAGTGACTGAGCTTCTTGCACCTTCTCAAGATGCATGCTGGCAGATGCACTGGCCACTTTGATAGAGACTATGCCTGCTAAAGTGGACACAAGTCCTCATAAGTAAACATTTAGAAGGCACTTTCCAATTGGGGTACATAGGAAGAGCAAGAGCTCACCTTCAAATCACAACAGACTCCTTGCTGCATTTAAGGCACTATTGGCTTTGCTTGTTTTCATTTAATACCTCTGTAAATCAGTATTTTCTTCTCTACATATCCAGACTATCACTGCATTCGCTTTTGGATTCTCATGGTACTGTATGGGGATATGGTCTGCCAAAAATATATATGATGGGTTTCACGTTAGAGACATCCTACACACTGTGCAGCTTTGAAGTGTTATTTTTTCCTGGTTTTGGGTGGGTCTTAGACTTGTCAGCCACAACATGGAAAATATAGATGGTAAACAAGCTAAAAGTGGTGTGAATAAAGTAAATAAAAGACTACTGTCAAAACACATCCAATTATGCTCTGCTGTGGAGATTTAACACCAGAGGATAATTTTCAAAGTAAAAATAGTGTGAGATGCCTAAATTAGTTTGGAACAAAAGGCCTACTTGTACAATTTAAGCCAAATAGACTACAGCATAATGATGATCCTCAACTATTATTCTTTTTTTTTGTGGAAAGTTGTGGATTTGTCATGTTTGTTAAATACTTTTCAGTAGTTTTTTTAATCCAAACTACTCAATTCAATCATACTTTATTTTACATATTAAAAAAAAAAATAGGTAATTACATGTAATTACATGGGAACAGCAACACATTGATACCTTGTGTAGCAACCAAATATGCTAATACATTCAATCACAATGTTGAAGAAGAATAGCAGAGTAACTTTCCAGGTGATGCGAGCCAACACAGAAATCATAGATTTCAGCACCTTAGTCCAATCCAGTTTTGGCCTCCTTTCTGAACAACACATCAGTCAAAACACTCCACCTAATTACAAGTGCGAACTTAATCCAAGATCAAACTTTTTTTGACATTAATGGCAGTCTGCACAAAGGACAACATAATGCAAGTTATTTGCACGTAGTTTAGGGGATAACAAAATCAAAGACCATTAAAATATTAAGAAAATAAACACAAAATGAAACAGCTCAGACAGCAAATGCCAAGAGGACCGGCACCTTACAGACTGAACACATAACTCCTACACATGGTAACTAAAGAAAACTAGTGAAGAGATTTAATTTATTATGCAAGGATCCGCTACTGAGAAAATACTAAAGGTCCCCTATATGGATGATGAAAGGTGGTTTTAGGCCTCTCATTTAGAGCACCAAAGGAACACTTCTGAAGAAAACACACATTTGAGTAAAAACGTCTAGGAATGAAGCTGCCTGGCTTCTCAATATACAGGCAGAAGCACATAATTTCTGCAGATAACTGTTCCAGGATAATGCTCTACCCCCTG